ATGAATATTATGAATATACTTCTCCCAATCTTTCTTTTTCTGTCTCTTTCTCTCGCTTCAGTGACGATGAAACAGTTCGTAGCTTCGAAAAATTGCAAAAGTAATATATCCAAGGTTCAAATTCCGAATTATCTAGAATAATTTTCATTGATTATTAATATAACAAAGGAAAAGAAATTAAGATTTTATTTTAAAAAGTCAGTGTGACTGATAATCTGGGCAGACATGCAAGTCTCAAGGTAAAGGGAGATACCATGCTTTTGTTTTCTGTAATCAGTTGTGTTTTTACCACAATATACATGTACGTACTTAAGGTGATCATATAAAAGCAAAGCAATAAATAAAAGCCAAAAACAATAACGATTACATTTTTTCTATTCTGATGGTCATATTTTTTTTTAGTGTTTTGACCAATCAACACAAAACTCATATTAGGTCTTTAAGTCATAATAAGCACCAAACATATCAAAAATAAAGTCAACATCAACAAGCATAGGCAACAAAAGTCCAGAAAACGGTGAATTAAGTAGAAATTTTAAGAGTGAATTCAAAATTTTTGAAAAGGCACTTTTGCTCATCATAACTTTGTACTTAGTTACTCTATTTATTACCCAGCAGCAGAGAAGAAGATTTTTAAAGAATTTATGCTTTTTCACTATATAATCTATAGAGCCCCGCCCTAACACCAGATCCCCTGACCCTGGGGCCATGCATTTCACAATTTTGGAAGAGGCTCTCTTGCTCCTGATCCTGGGGCCATGAATTTCACAATTTTGGAAGAGGCTCTCTTGCTCATCATAACTATGTACTTAGTTACTTTATTTAATACCCAGGAGCAGAGAAGATTTTCAAAAAATCAATGCATTTTCCCTGTATAACCAATAGAGCCCTAGCACCAGAACCCCTGGCCCTGAGGCCCTGAATTTCACAATTTTGGAAGAGGTTTTCTTGCTCATTATAGCTATGTACTTAGTTACTTTATGTAATACCCAGGAGCAGAGAAAAAGATTTTCAAAGAATTAATGCATTTTCACTATATTATCAATAGAGCCCCGCCCTTACACCAGAACTCCTGACCCTGGGGCCATGAATTTCACAATTTTGGAAGAGGCACTCTTGCTCATCATAACTATGTACTTAGTTACTTTATTTAATACCCAGGAGCAGAGAAGAAGATTTTCAAAGAATTAATGCGTCTTCATTATATAATCAATAGAGCCCTGCCCTTACACCAGAACCCCTGACCCTGGTGCCATGAATTTCACAATTTTGAAAGAGGCACTCTTGCTCTTCATAACTATGTACTTAGTTACTTTATTTAATACCCAGGGGCAGAGAAGAAGATTTTCAGAGAAATAATGCACTTTCATTATATGATCTATATAGCCCCACCCTTGGGCCAGAACCCCCGACCCAGGGGCCATGAATTTCACAATTTCCTAAGAGGCACACTTGCTCATCATAACTATGTACTTAGTTACTTTATTGAAAACCCAGGAGCAGAAAAAAATATTTTCATAGAAATAATGTACTTTCACTATATGATCTATATAGCCCCACCCTTGGGCCAGAACCCCTGACCCTGGGGCCATGAATTTCACAATTTTGGTAGAGGGCTCAATGCTTATTACAATGATGCCAACAGTTTGACTGCTTGATGTTCTGGAGTAAAGAAGAAGATTTTTAAAGATTGCATTATTTTTGGTGGTTTTATACCTCTCAGGCCCCAGGGGGGCAGGGACCATGAAATTCACATTTTTGTTCCCCTTCACCCATAGATGCTACATGTATATGCCAAATTTGGTTGAAATTGGTAAAGCGGTTTCAGAGAAGAAGCTAAAAAAGTTCAAATGTTAACATACGACGCACGCCGACGGACGAGAACGGATAGCTATAGGTCACCTGAGTGACTCAGGTGACATAAAAAAAACAACACTAGTTTACAGATTTAAATTTTATTACTCCACTTATGATTTTGTGTATATTCTAAAAACAATTGGCCAGTACCCTCAGTGCAATGATTGAAAAAATAATCATACGTAAATTAAAACTTCTTAGTAAATAATGAAATTGGCTCTTTATTCTTATTCTATGCATAGAATTAAGACTATTTCTTGATACGGAATCATTTTTATCAAATGGAGCCAATTTGCCTGTATTTTTTTTCTGAAGGCGTGATCACACAATGCAAGAAAATGGAACTTTCTAGAAATATTATGATGTGTCGATCTTTTTAGTGATACATTATTAATTATCTTTCAGATGAGTATCAGAACATATTGATATTGTTTAAAATATATACATACATAAATAATTGATATCGAAAAGAAGCAGCAGGGAATTTGAGTTTTATATTAAGATAATGAAATCTGCCCTTAGTTGTAAAATAACTTAGAAAAATAAATATATTCGTGTATTTCTTGGCTTTTGAACACATATTCATTTTTAATTTTTAAAATTAGAAACAATATTTGGAAAACATTCGATAGATCTTTGAATTACTGCATTATATAAAAAAGAAATTTTATATTAAATTCATAGAATGTTGAGAACTGAAGACCGCCTTTTATGAGTAAGAAAAATTTAATATACAACTATCAAAATCAATACTTTTATTCTGTTGGAGATGTTTCTGTTGGTCAATTAGAATGAAATTAATAAAAGTGAAACATAGTGAAAGGCTCTACTCAATACAAATGAAAATAATGGATAAAAAAGAACCCCAACAATTCTGCAAGCATTTTCCATCTGAAATTCTTATTCAAATGTTAAAAATGGAATGAAAAAGCTTAATTGAAATCTCATTTTTGTTCTTTACATAAAAGGTTCTCTTTTAGCGTTGAAAAGTTTCAAGACTTAAAAATTAGACGCTTTTTATCGCCAATTCCATCCAGATCTAAGTCTCCAAATCGATCTTTGACTCTTCGTTTAATATTTTGGCAACAACATCCAAGGAAAGCATTTCCTCCAGCGCATGCGCCACCTGCCACAGCAAATATCCAGTACCATTCTTGTCTGTTGTATTTGTAAGCAAATATTGTTACTCCAACTCCGGTACATCCAACTAAAGGATAAAAATTGTCAAAGAGATAAGACACTCTGAATGAAATTGGTGATCAAAAATACATTCTTGCATATAACTTAGGTTTAGATTTCGTGATTTAAAATCTATAATAGCAACAACAAAAAAGATTGAATTTAAAAGATTTTTTGGTAAGTAAATCAATTTTTAACTGAATTTAATTCAGTTCATCATTGAGAGAATGAGCGCAAGTAGTTCATATAAAATCGTTTCCGTAGGGGCTTACATGAGATGAAGTGAAGTAACACTTCAATATGATAACATTTCAAATGGCAATATCCCTTGGATTCTACAGCAACGAAGATCGTGAAAAGGGTCCAACACCACAACAGAGATTCAACGCTGGTTGAAATAACCATGCAACTGAATGCAATTTTTATCGAACAATCTGGAAAAAAAAAGTTTTTCTACCATTTTTTTTAATAAGAGGCAAACAACTTAAGATCTTTTAAGTCAAATAATGTAAAAGTATTCGACGTTTGAAATGATATTATAATTATGGAAAGGCAACGGTGAAAAACACTGAAATCTTTATTTTCCGAAACTGTATTGCAAACATTGATGCAGAATTTCTGAAAAATTTGAAATCAGTATGTGTATATTGTAGATTATTTTCAAAATTGATACACAATAAACAATAATCTTTGTTATCAAGTCGCAACGAAGTTGGAGGAGAAATATTTACAAGTAACCCGCTTGTGAGCATGTGGGTGAGTGCTTGCGTGACGGAAATAATAATTAACATCGGCATCAATGTGCTCTTTTAATGTGCTCTTTTGTGAGAGGAAGCTACGCTTTGCGATGCAATTGTTACGAGATATATTGCTTTCAGATAAATATTCTAACCAGATCAAGTTGCTTATTCGTTCAAGTAAAATCAATTAAAAATGCTATACTTACCTGTTTCTTTGTTGTCAAAAGCTTTAGGAAACTTTGTAGAAAAAGCTATCAAAGAGGGAACTAACAAAAACACGCTGATTTGAGAAAGCATGGCGCCAACTACAGTCCTAAAGAGGAAGAAGCGCGAAGACACCTCGTCCATCATGGTTCACCTGAGAAACAAAGTCACAAAGGAAAACTACAGTATAATTATCACATGTACAGATTTGTAGTTGTAAAATCATGTTTTAGAATACATTCCTCTAATTTAATAAGATTGTGTAGAAAAAAGTCTTACCTGAGTCTTGTTTAATCTGTTATGATACAACCAGTTTCATAAATTTTTAACTTCTCATGAGTGTTATGTTAAAAAAATATCTACTACCGTGCTTGCTTCTCTATGAAATAGATAGTAAACATTTTACTTGTATTTTCCGGAACATCAAAACAAGATTTGTTTCCGTTTAAATTTCTACTGGCAATGTTTTTGTACTTTCACATATTAACATATGCATTCAAGAGTTTGAACGAAGTGTAACTTTACAAGATAGTCTTAAATAGATTTGTGCATGTGTGGACTTTTGGCACAATTTTATCCAATTGTGCATCAGTTTGTACAATGACTACATGTTATACTGTATATTGAACAAATGATACATATTTCAGCTTCAGTTCATCTAATATCGATCACATATATTTTAATTTTATTGCAATTATGTAATCAATATTTACAGACCGATTTTTTTTTCAAACATCATATTTTTCAATTAAAGTAAATAACTGGCAGTTAAATTATTCTGTTTTTTTAGTTTCTTGGTTTTACAACTCACATTGTTTCGAAAAAAAAAAAAAAAATATAAGCATGATGTGACTTAAAGACCGTTCATGATACTATGGTCTTAGACATGTTTCAAGAAGTGTTTTCTGTTTACAATATGAGAACCAAAAAAGATAAATAACTAAATACATGTTAGAATTGCACAGTTATTCTATGTACATGTAACAAATTCCGTCGCATTTCTTTTTTCCCATTTCTTCTTCAAAAGTTCTGCATTTGTATTCCAACATCACTTTCTTTCAGGGATATCAACCCTGTATTTTCCTCTCCAATCATTTTCTTAATACCCAACAAATTTTCATTCCCTGTTTTAATTTCCTTTTCTTTAATGAAATGTCCTTGCTCTTGTTTTCCCCAACTCATATTCTCAGTCGCTCCTTGTATATTCCCTATCATTTTCATCAGTCTAGAATCCGCCATATCCTCTCTTCGTAATCTTCGATACTCTCTCTGAAATATGCAGGCAACAAAGCAGTTGACCATGGAAAGGAAGGCGGCTATGGTACACATGTTCCAGTACCAAATATTAGGATTCAGTTTAACGGCATACACAGTAACCCCAACGAAAAGAAACATACCTAAAAACAAATTGGTACATTTATTTATTTATTTTTTTTTGTGGACATAAAAAAATTCCAATATCATGTTTTTACAGAGGTTTTACATTTCCTTTTAAGAAATATGAGCACATTTATTTCATTTTGAAAATTTTAATTTAGACAAATTGACGGAAAGTCTAATTTGTTATTCCGAGAGCAAAACAGCAGCTTTGTATTTTACATATATGCTCTATTGCAATTTGAATTACTTTTTACATGCAATTCTCAACTAAATAAAAAGGTTAAAGCTAATTCTTAGCAAAGTTATTTTGGTAGTAAAAGTTGGAAAAGTTAATTTTGCATCTTACGAAAATGCAATTTTTCAAAGATATTACTTTAATTTTATCTTTCAAAGTTTCATGAAAATAATACCGACCATATTTTATGACAAAATAATTGGGTTGAACACATAACATCATACCTCATGATGATTTGTAAAAAAGAAAAAGAAGACAAAAAAATATTATCAAAAGTTCAGATACTGATTTGATATCAAATTATATAGCAAATAAAATGAAGTATCCTCAAAAAAGCGTATTTAAAAAAAAAATCTTTATTGTACAATTAAATGTATCCCTGTGTTAAAATTTGTTTAAGCTTTTCTGACCTCATATTTGTAAGACAATGAGATTTGTTTTGTCAGAATAAAAAGCTTGCTTATACTTACACGACGTAAAATGCAACAGAACAACTAAATGGTAGCAATTTATTCGACATCTTCCCTTGCAAAGAAAGGCAAACCCAAAACAAGAGGATTTCAAGAAGATGAGGAACACTTCCAAACAAGCCGCAAGGCAGAACAAGGCAAAACTTCCTTTAAGCGAACAGGCTGAAACAAAAGAGTATGGGACATATACACAAAACAAGAATAACTTAAGTATTGTTTAACCCCGTGATGTACACTTACATGTTTCTAGATCGTCAAAAATTGTTGGATTGTCGAGATACATAAAAACTATAATAGGCGCTGCAGTTCCTATCGTGAAAACAGAGGTTACGATTCCAAATATCTCGCGAAAATAGAAAAAGCCCGTTTTTCCCTCCATATATTAGTGTATGTTATAAACAGACAAGTTATGTTTCCTTTGAAGCCATGCGTGTGTTTAACTTTATCATTTCCGGAAATGTACATCATGTACATGTTTATGCTAGTTTTGTTTGTCATGCATATTTTATCAGAAACGTTTATGTTTATTAATCAGTTTCCGAGTGTTTTATACTTATTATTGAAGAAGCTTAAACTTCTCTTTGTTATAAGCTATAGTATTTGTTCATGGACTATTTAATTTACTTTAATACTTAACAATGATACATTTATTTGGTAGCATACATGTTCTAGAAAATTATACAGCGTTATAGGTAATAATATCCCTTAAATTCAGTAATTTCGTGGAATACACTTTAAAGCACTTTTTAATTGTATTAATCTTCTGTAAAAATAATATGTTGAAAGCCTACATTGTTCAGTATATTCTAATTTTCATCTGTCACTGGTAAAATATTGAAGGTTTGATTATTACAACTTATACATGTTTTATTGGAATTTGAAGAAAAAAAGAAAAAGAAAAAAAAAATGTTAGAGTATCAAGTTTACAGTTATTGCAAGCAAACTTTTCTATTTAATTCTGAAAAAAAAACTTTATGAAAAATATAACCTGCAATTAAGAAGAGAGCACCGATAGAGCACATGCTTCCAGTGCACCGTAGAAATCTATGTGCATTGACAAGAATTGTGAAAATGATAACTCTATTTTCATATACATGTAGTACAACTTATTCTTATATGAAAATCTCAGAAACAAATAAAATTAAGAAATGAGTAAAAATTCTTCATCTTTTTCTGTATTGAATGTTCTTCAATAATTAACAATTCTTCCTTGCTTACCCAAAGGCATAATTTTCTGGAAAAGATACCTCGATCTCTTTACGACGTGAAGAGGTCAATTATGTTCAAGTGTTTGTCATTCAGTTGGCATACAGATGTATAACCATATGAATAATAACATTTTTATTATCTGGATGAAAATTAATTCTTTACCTGTTCTTTTTCAACCTATTTGTTCTTTTCCGAATGATTTTTTTTCAATTATCAGCAAGTGCAGATATGCAATGTTAATCTTGAAAAAAATAAATGGCTTGAAAAAAATAACAATAGAAAACATTTTTAACCACGAAGCGCATAAAAGAGAAACATACTTTAATTTCCACTCCCAGAGATTACGATTTGTTCATTAAAGATCGTGTGGTATAGATTAAAATTAAATGGGGTCATGGCATTTTGTTGCAGAAAATACATCGGGGATACAATTTTCGTTTTTTATTTACATCATCTTTTTAAAGTAAATCCCACTGTGTCTTAAGCGCAGTAACTCTTTTTGGGGTGTATTATGAGATATGAATATTTTTTGACAACGGTTAAACACACAGAAAAAAATCAATGACTTCATATCCATTCAGCAGACACTTCTCTCTGTAATTTAAGTTAACCACAAAGTGTACATACAAGTATTATACCATGGGGACTTTTTTATTCAAGAAAAAGTCCCTTTGATTATTTGATTTGCTGCAAATTTCTTCATATAAGGTGTTTTTTTTTTTGTTTTTTTTTTTTTTTTTGTTTTGTTTTTTTTTTTTTTTTGGTCAAATAGCGATAAGGTGATAATATTACAAAAAAAAAAAAGCTTTAGATTTCCATAGAAATATAGGTATCGTAGTCTATGTTCATGTTATAGATTGCTTGTGAAGTGTGGAAAAGAAGTGATTATCAAGTATATATCATATATATACTTATTTGTCTCAGCAGAATAAAAAATATCATAATTATAGAGCATAAGTCAAGCTTAAAAATGTATTTATAATTTCTGGTTAAAGAAAATGAATATAAATTCCAGATTCTTAAATTTCGAGCCAAACCACTGTTGATACAAATAAAAAAAAAATAAATTAAAAAAAAACCCCACTTTTTTTAACTTCTGAATAAAAAAAAATCCGTTTACCAAAAAGAAAACGGGGGCAAAACTGAATTTTTTATTCTTTAGGACCAAACTCTTTGCATAAAACCTCAAAATGCTTTGTCTGAAAAAAAAAGACAAAAACAGAAGCTATTCTAAAGGAATGTTCACATATTAACGTGACTTTCCGGGATGGTTATGATGCCTTATCAATTTTCGTGACGTGTGCAGAATGGACTGTCCAGAGAAGGTCATTGTATGAGGTATATAAAACCATAGGAGATGACGACCTCTATCTTTTGATCGAGGTTACACTGAAAGGTACAATTATCTTCTAAATGTAATATCATTCATTCAGTAGGAGTATTGTTTCTGTAATTTTATATTTCAGTGCTAACAGAATTGTCTTTTTGTTAGAATTCCATACGAGTCTTAAAGGTTCGATTTAGATATTTTTCATGCTTGGATTTTTGAAGGGAAATGATTTATTGAACGAACTATTAATTTCTTTAAGTCTATTTAAGAAAGACAATTAAGCATAGACTTATCCTTTTTGGAGTACAGGCTATTTTTTTCCACCTGAAATATATTCTTTTGTAAACCCATCGACGTGTTCTGTATCTATTCTAGATCATAAGCTGAGGGGCATTTCCTTTGCATTGAAAGAAGAATTTTTTTAAAATCTTATTTTCAGAAACCATGGATACTTTAAATTTGTTTTGCTTTGTAATAATTAGTTTTTCACTAATTACAATTATCAGTTTTGTTTTATATTTTAGTTTAATCAGAAAATATCAAACCAAAGGAGAAAATGGTTTTCACTTTTTAAGTGTAGAAAAACCTGATTTAATTACACCAGTGCATGTAAAACACTAAACAAGATTAAACTCATATAAAAACTTCAAAGATCCTCAGTATGATCTACAAGAAGCATAATTTTTTTATAGCCCAAAATAATTTGTTTTATCGAAAATGTAATGTATTACTATCAGTTTAGATATACTACCAATCTAAAATTACAGAATAAGAATGTCTCATTTCTCAGATAAAGTCGAAAATGTTTTAAAAATGATTTTGTAAGTATTTTTATTTTTTATGAATATGATAAAGTAGCATAAAAAAAGAGGATATTGCAAAGTTTTGCTTGTGCTTGAAAATAAAAATGTCTGAAATTCCGACTGCCCCCCCCCCCCCCCAAAAAAATACAAAATACTTTCATAAGACTGAAAACGTGAGCATATAGCGTATGTAAAGGGGCTTCTGATTTTTTTTTTTTTACCCGAAACTCTGTCATAATTTTAAAGAAAAACTTCCCATATTTTTGGAATAATTTTGGTTTTTAAGCGCAAATGTGATCAAATTTTACTATATAGTCATTAAAAGTAGCTGAAACTAACCATCATATGTAAACTGTATAATAACAGAACGACAAACATTGCCGTCCCTAAATCAAGGATAACGTCCCGCCTAAAATACCCTTTATGTGTATATTTAGCATTTAAAAAAAAATGTATATTAGTTCAGCCTCCATTCAGTGTAAATCATGTCTGTTTCATGTCGCTGTTTCTTTCAAAAAAGTCCACAAATAAAATATAGTTTTTCCTTTGAATCTAATGTCTACTACATTTTTTTTTCTAAAGCAAAATCTGCAATGAAAAAGACTTGTGCTACGTAAAACTAACATTGACCTCGGTCTAGATATAAAGTTTCATTAAAAATTTGTTTGATTAGCTTCTTAGGGACTGTCTAAAATAGTACGTTTGCTGATTACATGTGTATTATAATTTAAAAAGCTATCTCAAAATGAAAAAAAAAATGGACAGCATTTCCTTATTTTTATCGAATATTACAAAAAAGAATTCAAAGAGAAAACAGAAAAAAAAATATTTGCCTCTTTCTAACTATTACTTTTTCAAAAGCATATACATATCTTATTAATCGTTTTAAAATTTGATTTTAATTACTTCCTTCTAAAGAACCTCACTTTTTGAGAATACCATGCATTTAAACACACGTATATAAAAATGAAAATAAATAAATAAAAGAACTTTACAAATTATTTTTTTTTTCACTCTGAAGATTTCAAAATTATGTTAATTTTTAAATTGAATTTTAGTTTTAGAAATACCATAGGCCTATTTCACAAAACTGCCAAAAGTACGCATTGAAAGCCTTAACAGTTGTATAAAGGTTTGATTTTTCAGGATAAAATGCATGTAAAAAGCGAGTGCATCCTATGTTCTTTTTACTCTTAATGGCAGTTATATACATGTAACAGAACATTGAAAATAACTAAGTGAGGGAAACTTAATCTAGAATTTACTACGCATTTTTTTACTCGTTAATTCTCCAGTTTAAAAAAAAAATAAAGGAAATAAAAGAAACTACGGTTATATTGTTCTGCCACCTGACTCAAAGTAAATTTTTAAAACTAAACATATTTGAATGTGTTTTTTTTTTCATATTTATATGGATACTTACATGTATGTGAATTTTATAACATGTGTTATTTGGGGAAACAAAGAGAGTTATCTCTATAATTTTGTTAAAAATTGCGTTTTCACTAAATAAATCAACAGAAAACTGAAAATATTTTAAAAATATCTAACCCCTCCCCCGTTAAAAAGATTCCTTTTCACAATTTTTTTTTTGAATTGTTAATTCATAAATCCATACTAAAGCCTTTATTTTATTACAGTTTCAAATGAGACTGAAATTTTATCAATTTTATATGTTGAATTTTACATAAGCTAAGTATACGAAAAAGATTAAAGGGTCATATATCAATGTCCATGAATATTTGAAAATCTGGTGATGTCTTAAAGCCCCATTTCGATAGATTAAATTTTCAACACCCTCATAAAATGAGTCGCAAATAAGAGAAATTAACTTTAACTTAATTACTGATTTTTTAAATTATGAATAAGTTACTTATGAACTCGTCTTTGCATTTAAGCAACTTTAAATGGTCAAATTGCCATTTATAATGAATTAAATATGTGTAAAATGTTGATGGGAATCGAGAATTAGCTTGCGTTTATCTTTACGAGATGTTACTGTGTAGATTACTTCATATACTTTCCTGTGTTATTCCTTAAGCCAATTTAATCTTTAAATTTTAAATAAATATGAACGAACAATTTCAATCGGTCACATAATATGAAGTGCTGAATATTTCGATGTCTTCAAATGTGTGAGGGAGTATTTGGAGTGCATATAACCTTTAACTCTGTACATTAAATCTTTTGGTGATGTTTAAATGTCAACATTAAATTAAAAAAAAAAAAAAAAACAATACATCCCTATCATAGAGGAACGACGCATTAGAATTCATTGATACTAGAATATCCGAAAGTTAAGGTAGCATTCCCTCTCCCTGATTATGAAAACCAACGTCTGTTTATTTCCCAACTGTGATATTTGATTTCCTTGATAAGAATAACAGTACTTAATCAAACATCACGCTCGGCACAGATAGGACGATTTCGTGTTGTGTACTGTATAAACTCGTTTTTGTTTTAATCAGGCCAGCAAGATGTATATTGTAAAAATATAATATGATGCCAAGAATACTGATAATGTAATTTTTAGATTATTAAATATATATTTATTGTCAAAATGTAATATTACACTTTGGAAACTGATAATGTAATTCTCCTGCAGATTAATGGATACATGTTTATTTTCAAAATATAATACCGGTATTACACTTAGGAAACAGATAATGTAGTTTTCAGATTATTTAATGCTATATATGAATCAGACATATTGGACATGCCTCATAAAATCGACGCCAAGAATCAAATGGTGGAGAAAAGAAAAATCTTACAGTAATTTGAAAATCATTTATTTAGATATAAATTGCTCTTGTTAATTTCAGGAAACAATGAAATTCCTGTGTATCTTTCTGCTTCCAGCAGTCTTTGCAGCTGGTAGGTCTTTTTTTTTTTTGCTGACTCACTCAAAAAATATTCTGGAATTTGTAAATTGAAAAATGAAATATAATACATAACTAATAAGTATCATTTGATTTTTTTCTTTTGCAGTTCCTAATAGGAGAATGCTGTTTGACAGTGAGTCAATTTCAAGTGTCCGAGACAAGGATGACTCGCGACCAAATTATCAAGAAACAAATAATTGAGATAGCAGAAATAACTTTCAGAACTATTTTCCCAGTAAAACAACTTGTAGGAACATACATCGCTATAGGTTTAGAAAGTTTTCTTGTCAAATCAACTCTGAAACGCCAACAGTAATATTCACAACTTGGAAAGTTCAACTATTGTTAAATGAATTTCTTTTATAGCATGTATTTAATATCTCTATAGTGAAGTTGGTTGAAGAAGAATTTTGCGTTGTTTCTTTTAATTAGTTTCTTTGTAATCTAAATATATCTATAAAATGAAAAAAGCGGTTTACTAAACAGACACCAATGAAAGGTCTCCATCATTTAGTTCTTTCACGTACATGTAAATGAGAGAAATTAATTGAAAATTTATCATAAATTTGTTTTTCGCACATGTTCTGCATGTTGAAAATATTTTCCAATTTATCAAAAAATTAAAGAATAAATTTGTTTTAGAAACAATATTTTCTAATCGAATTGTGAGTTTCTGCTGTCATACTCAAAGAAATGAAAAAAAAAAATACATGGAGTGGTTGATTGATAGACAGTACAACCATAGAAGTAACCAAAATTAAAAAAAAAAAGGAAAAGTCAAATAAAAAGATTTGTAATTCAATATTTTATTTACTGAAAAATTTATTGTGTTTTTGGGAATCAAAGTAATTTTGTCTTTCAGCATTTCTAAATGGTCAAGAGGCAACACATCTTATTGACCAACTTGTGGCCACATTATCATCTGATGATAGCGAGGCAAAATGTGAGCAGGAATGTCATACACTTATTGCAGACCAGAACTCACTTTTCCAGCATCTCTGCCCATTCATGTGCCACTCGTAAGTGTGTTACAGTTTAGCTTATTTATAGGGGTAATGATATAACTTATGATATAATAGACGAATATCACATTCGTAAGAGTTATCTCCCTTTGTCGACGTAACGCTCATTTTTCTCTCTATATCCTTTATAACTGTAATTATTTTCAACCTTAAACCGCTATCGGACAATTTGGATCAGTTCCCGTATTGTCATAGTATTGAGAAACATAAAAACAAAAACATATTCATATAGATTTCATTTGTAAGACATTGCCCCATAAAGTTGGTATTGGTATAAAAGAAAAACTGTGCATACGCCAGTTGACCCTAGATTGACAGCGCAAAGGGAAATAACTTTTTAAAATGTGAAAGTGGTCCATTAAGACAGGAGATATATTTAAAATTAGATCTCATTTTAGATCAAACGTAAACATATAGTTCCTTTTTTACACTGATGTCAGAAAAGTACTTGATCGCCTCATATACAATGTAAGACATAAGAATCCACACATTATATTCTTTTTCATCCAATATCAGAATATGCTTATCCCTGGTTCCCCACAATTTCTCGGACAATTAATGTACGATAGCATACGTTATTTTCATTTTTTTTTTCATTTCGTTATATCCCAGTGAACTTAAAATTAAAGAAACTGCAGAGTCTTCCACATCTGTTTTATGTTTGAATGTTTGACGACTTAAGGTGAAAATAATCGACAAATTACTAAACTGTATGACAAAACAGGTTGAATTCAGCTTTTCAATCGTCAACTTCCCTTATTTATGTATTAATATTCCAACATCATCTGCATATCTTGTCTTCCAACTGATTCAATAAGCAAGAACATGCTCTGAGCACGATCAATTTTCAAACTGAGGCAAGCTGCTGACAAAAATTTGATGATACAAGGATTTCAACAACACCGTGTAAAGCAAGATACCAAAGGATGTTATTTACTATATAATCCTATTGGAAATCACGTTCTGCCGATATTTCATTTTTTTTTTGTCTTTACCTACCATAATCAATACTTAAAACAATTGACAAAGAGTTTAAAATCAGGAAAAAAAAATTGATAATTATGGTTAATTTGTTGTATATTACGTAGGGATAAAAAAAAACAGATGAAGGAGAAACGTGTCGTCAGACCTTAATGCAATGTGTTCTAATAGGAGATAGATGCCTGAAAGGGCGTATGGTTTGATTTAAAAAAAAAAGTTTCTTTTTCCATTCAAATAAAGCAAGTAAATCAGAAATCATCTGATTGATTGTCAGCCTCTGGACTAAAACAACCACATTCTCTTTATTTCCATTGAAATTAATGGCCATATTTGATTTAATATTAAAATATTTACTATTTTCTAACATAGAGCCCAACAGGCTTTGTCTGGACTTCATCACACAGACCCAGCTGCTGGTGCCCCAGCAAAACGAATGCTGTTTGATAGTAAGTGTACTAAAACACAAAACAACATGTTTAATCTGTTCAATATTTTGCACTTATTGTACATAGAATATTACAGCGAAGGAGGGCGCTTCTTTATTATACATGGGAATCATTAGCACGGGTCCTAAACTATTTTATGATATTGTGATTAAATACTAAAAGGATAAAACTTTGTTAGTAATAAATGTTAAATATGGAATTGTGGGATTGATTGATTGATTGTATGTTGTTTAACGTCCCTCTCGAGAATTGTTCACTCATATGGAGACGCCACCACTTGCCGGTGAGAGCTGCAAATTTTGTCCTATACTCGGCACTTACGGCCATTGAGCAGTGAGGGATCTTTTTCGTGCCAGCACCTACTGCGACACGGGACCTCGGTTTATACGGTCTCATCCGAAGGACCGGTCTCCATGTCCCACAGTGGGATTCGAATCCGCGACGTAAGGATCAACTCCTTGCTTCGAGACTCAAGAGCAGACGCTCTAACCACTGCGCCACGCGGGCGATTGGAATTGTGGGAAAACTCATACAATTCTGTTTATTTTGCAGCATTCCTGAACAGTCAGGAGGCTACTCGTATAATCGATCAGCTTGTAGAAACCTTAGCTACTGATGACAACGAGGTTAAATGTGAACAAGAATGCCACGTTCTGATCGCTAGTCAGACCTCACTTGTCCAACATCTTTGTCCTTTCCTATGTCATTCGTAAGTTCTGTAAACTTTTAAGAGAGTCTAGAATTATGGTTTTGAAATCTAATATAGTACTAGCATAATGCAATCAACAAACAAACAGCTCTATAATAATGTTTCCTTGCAGAGCTGTTAATGCCTTGAATCATCTCCACAGCCCCCAGGCTGCTTCAACATCCCCAGCAAAGCGAATGCTCCTAGACAGTAAGAATTGTTTAAACTATTTACTAAGAAAAGAATATGAGTTTTCAAAGTGCACAGTATAGTTCAAAAGATGAACTATACTCGTATTTCCTCTGATTTAATAGTTTTCTTCTATGCTGATGCTGCAATGTATAGGAGTTTTGAATTCAATTATGTTTGTTGAATTTTTTAATAATCTCGTATGCTAAAAGACCTTGTATTATAAAGAAATTATAGTCGCCGTTGATAAAAGACACAACCATAAAAGTGTGTTATATTTGCAGCCTTCTTGAACACTGGCGAGACAGGCAAACTTATTGATCAGCTAGTGGCTACCCTTAGCTCAGATGAAACCGAGGTTCAGTGTGAGAAAGAATGTCACGTGCTGATCAGAGACTCAACTTCCGTCTTTCAGCACATGTGTCCATTCCTGTGCCACTCGTAAGTATATCAAATATATAAGAAAATGTTCTTAGGACATCTTGCATATCCTTATGATAAAATTTTTTTAATGGTTTAATGTGTGTTTTTTCCTCCATGACAATAATCCTAAAATCAAATAAAAACGTGATAAAATGTTTGTTCAAATGCATTCTCTGCAACTTTTCTTGTACACCATGTATTTTCGCTGTGCAATCAATGCAACTCTTCAAAAAGTACATTGTATTCTGAGGAGTATTAGCTATCGTAAACAAATTAAGATATACATTCATAGTTTTCATTTATTGAACAACTTTAATTTTTTTAGTTATAAGAATTTAAGCATATTCGCTATTTACCATCAAAACAAAATATATTTTCCATATACGCATTGCATAAAATACCTGTCTGATAACTGCTACAGTGCGGAAAATTTATGCATTTATTATGAAATTTTACTTTAGAATTAATTTATATTTTTATATTATAAATTAAAACTCAAAACATATAAATTGATTTTCATTTCTAAATTTTCAGCCTGCACCCCCCCCCCACCCCCCTTCAAAATAAAGTATAAGATGTTTTTCTTATATAAGTAAAATCTTTCATAAAAAGATAAATGTGAATATACATTAAATGCTAATTATCTTCGGTGAAAACTATCGAATTCCCGTTCATTATGAACTCTTGGCTTTGATTAAATGTAATACCCAATACATCGGGAATGCGATATCAATCGTAATTTGAAAAAAAGATAACATTACATTCGTGCCAAGGATCCTTCTGAATGTCCATCAACAAAATTTATATATATATATATATATATATATATATATATATATATATATATATATATATATATATATATATATATATATATATATATATATATATATATATATATATATATATAATTAGTCTTAAAAAAATATGTATTCAAAACCTCTTTTTTTCATTACAGTGCTCAGGCTATCGTCGCTAACATCCACCATTCAGGGGCTTCAGCTCCAGTCAAGCGTGTTTTGCTCGGAAGTAAGTTTTTAAATTCCATGCATATGATTCCATCCAGTTATGTGAATTTAATTTAAGAGTGACTTATTTGACATATGCCTAGTGCAGAATCATAATGGTGATAAAATAAAGCAAATACTAAGCAGCATTTGATATAAATGACAGCAGAGTCTTCTGGTATATGTATTATTTTTCACATTTCAGGCCTCTAAGTGCCCTCTGAAATTAAGGCGCCAGCTGGCTCCTTTTCAAAAAAAATTAGTCGCCAATGCAAATTTTTAGTCGCCAGGCCATTTTTCTAAGGCGCCAACTTTAAAAGTTAATAGAATGTAGAGACCTAAAACATGCCTAAGAAAACACGACATGTCCATTGCTAAAAATAATTTCCTCTTCTTTTAAATTTCTTTTCGCTTTTTTAGAAAAAATGTTAAAAATGTCCGGAATTCGACGATCGCCTAGTCAATTTAAAATGGTCGCCAATTTGGCGACTTATGGAAAAATTTTAGTCGCCAATCAAAAATTTAAGGCGCCATGGCGACTAAATTAGTCGCCAATTAGAGCCCTGCATTTGATAAGGAATTTCATCTTTGAAAGGCTTAGCTTGAAATATTTTAATGCACTTGCATGGATATTGTCCTGTAAAAAGACAAAGCTTTTATTAAAGTATATATAATTTCAACCTTTGAAAATGTTTCGACTAAATTAAGTTTTTGAAAATAATAAGATTAAATTAGTTATATTTTCTGCAAATTTTTGTCAGATTTTCTGAATACAGAAGAAACCTCCAAGATCATCGACCAGCTGGTTACAACTCTTGGATCAGATGACTCGGAATTAGCCTGTGAAAAGGAATGTCACGTGCTTATTACTGACTCTACTTCCGTTTTCCAGCATATGTGCCCTTTCCTGTGTCACTCGTAGGTCAACAAGTACAAGAATTTCTAAATTATTTTTTTCTTAACAACCCCCGTTTAATTTTTGCATTAGAATGTTTAATATTTTTGAATGGCATGACATTATAGATTATAGTTTATTGTGAGCCATTTTCATTTTTTTTTCTTTGTTTTAAAGAGCTCAGGCCATCGTCAACAACTTTCACCATGCACCTGCCACTGCTGGCACTGTACAGAAGAGATTTTTGGTCGACTGTAAGTGGTTTATTTTATTTATCAAATACTGAGTAAAAAATACAGTTTTTTTCATTCGCGATATGTCTGACGTCTCAGAAGCCGTCACAGGATGAAATCCTGATATTCCTTCAATTAAATGATTACTGAAAAGTCTAGAAAGGTGGCTGAATGGCAAAGCTCTGTTATTCAGTCACCTTCCAGTTAACTGAATATTAACTGAATATTAACTGAATATTGGATTCCATCAATGTTAATTATACACGACAGAAAAGGCATATTTTCATAACAGTGAATATGAAATTAATGATTAGAGATAAGATTTCAACGTTCTTTTCTTTTGTAAAGCTTTCTTGGCTAACCCTGAGGTCAATGTTTTGGTAACAAGTTTGGTGGCTGTTCTTGGATCAGACCCAACAGAACAGGCCTGTGAGAATGAATGTGTCACCATGATTCATGCTGACAATGTATTGCACCACCTTTGTCCATTTGTCTGTCATTCGTAAGTTTTATTAATTCTAGTAGATATGCAAATTTGTGAACATTTTTATTTTTTTTCTAAATATAAACACGTGTGCATTTACAGATTTCAGCAACTTGTATCAAAAGTTCACTTAACCCAGCCAGCTTCTAACCCATCCAAAAGGTTCCTTATCGATTGTAAGTCATTAAGCATAAGTTTATAAGAATATTCAAGAGTTGAATTCTCAAACGAAACAAAGGCTAATCAGTGTAGTATTTCACACATTTGGAAGTATGATTATGTGTACTTATCCTGTGCAGATCTTTCTAATAAACAAGCCGCACAATGTTTGTAGTACATGTATATGATTATTCCTCGTTGCCTGCTAGCTTAAATGCATAAAATTACTTTTTTTTTATTAAGATTGAAATGTGTTTTATTTTTCAAAGCTTTTCTTAACAACCCAGAAGTTAATGTTTTGGTTACCAGCCTAGTTTCCACTCTTGGATCGGATCCAACAGAACAAGCCTGTGAACAACAATGCGTAACAATGGTGCATGCCGATAATGTGCTACATCATTTGTGCCCATTTGTGTGTCATTCGTGAGTACAGTTAAACAAGTTCACATTTTCTCTTCAAAAAGGCATATAGTCTTTACGGTACTTTAATATTAAAGTATTTTCTCTTGCATGGTATTTTGAACATTCCTTGATTAAATCAACTAAGGATATCAGAAACTTTCTGTAGCTCCCCATGCGATTACCTGTATTGTTATTGTATTTACATCATTTTCAAGCATCTTTGCATCATACGAATAAGTGATTGCAATCTTTTAAATGAATTACTTACCTTAAGAAAAAAAAAATCCACGTTTGTATATACGAACTCGATTTCTGAAAACTATGAGAAAGGCACATATTCCTTTATTTGTGAATAGATCAAATATATTACATGTATATTGAATTTCTTTGATCATAGCCACAAATAAAAAAAAATTGCTTTTCTACAAATAAGATAACATGTTATTTAAAAAAAAAAATCAAACTTTATTGCATTCATTGAATTCCAATTTTACTTCAGCTTTCAGCAATTAGTACAGAAGGTCCACCTTTCCCCAGCAGCATCCAGCCCAGTACAGAAACGATTCCTTATTGACTGTAAGTTTTATTTAACAGTTCTGTTTTTAAAAACTTTACTTCTGTCCAGAATCAAATCAGACGACTACAAACACTTTGGCAATTTTTCGTATTTTAATTTCAATAATGTCTAGTTGAATATTGTAATTGTAAATCAAATATAAATCATGTCCAAAACCAAAGAACAAGATCAGAATAAAGGTAAATCTTTTTAAGGACAGATGATACAAAAAATGGATGCCTGGATTTGTATATATTTGTGGACCTAATTTGCTTGTAAATGATGCAAATAATAAATTTCTAAAATATTAAGAAATTGTAAACTTTCTATGATGTTCAAAACTCTACCTTTCTGCAACCATCCTTATTAATCTATATAACTTTTTTGTCACTTTATATATCATTATTATGAAACTTTTGATGAAAAAATTAAAAAAAATATGCTGTTAAACTTATTCATTTGACTTATATAAACATGACTTCAGTTGTTGTTTTCAAGATTTTTGATAAAAGTTTGTTTGTATCATCTGTCCTTAAGATAGAACTTTTTTGATAGCTCTTCTAAACAACCCAGAAGTCAGTGTGATTGTGAATTCCCTTGTCTCTACCCTGGGATCTGATCCCACTGAAGCAGCCTGTGAATCCCAGTGTACCAACATTGTCCACGCAGATAATGTCATGCACTTCCTATGTCCCCTTGTCTGTCACTCGTAAGTTTGTTCTCATATTCACTGTGCAAGAAATATCAATACTAAGCTTTCAATCTTAAAACAGAGAGTAAGAGATCAGAATGATATTTATTCTTACAATTCTTTCTGATACAATTTCCCTCAAAAACCTCCTATTCATAAAGACATTTCGCCAAATAAAAGACGAAGTTGTGTTTGGCTTCCCTGTTATTTTTGTGTGTGTGTGTGTTTTTGTTTTTTTGTTTTTTTTTTTTTTGTTTTTTTTTTTCATTTTGTTACTTTTTCATGTTCTGTTTTTTTAAGCAAATTAAAATGTTTTATTTTGTTCTTTAAATAAATGTGAGAAGGATTTTTCTATGGTACTCCTAGTATATCTAATCGAGAAATACAGTGTAGAAATGACAAGTTAAATTATTTTGTAAGATATGAATTGGTATCGAGAGTGTGCTTTACATTGTATTAAAGTTTGGGTAAAATCCTATTATTGTTGGTACAGTTTTCTTTGTTTTTGACATTACATTCTAGGTTATAAACATGTTTATTTCTATTCCTCAGGTTCCAGTCCTTGGTACAAAAGGTGCATATCAGTGCCCCATCAAATCCAGCACAATAAAATACCTGTTATGCAAAGCTATTTGTATATGTTTTATATGTTGTTTATAATAAATATTTTATGGGTACACTTTTTTTTTCAAATTTTTCTCTTCGAAGATTCTGTTGTGAACAATTGCAGGAAACCATGTATTTTGTCTTCAATGCCTTAAAATGCTGTAAAACATCGTTCGTTTAGCAGATATTACTGGTAAGTATCTACTGGTATATAAAGTATGCCTTTCTTATTTAAAATGATCCATGGTTTCATCCATTTTATCAAAAAGTATTCCCCCTAAATTATCGTTCACACATTATACATTGTTTAAAACCTTTAGCAGAACAAAGTAAAGTAACAAATTTACCTTATTTAAAGTCTCCCTCTTCTACGGAAGACCTTCTCTTTATTCTTAAGTTTCCTTTTTTTTCCCTTTTATTATTATTATTATTATTTTGCGCACGCAATTTCTGAAGAAGAAGAAGAAAAAAAAACAGCCTAATGGATTGCAAAATCACTTAAGCCCTAAATATTTTCCCTATTTTGTTGACCTTACTTCTCGTCCGGAAATATCGTCGATTTAATGGTTTTTGAAGAATCCACAGATTTTCTCATGAATGCTCTAGATAGAGACCTGACACTTTCAGGAATGGTAGAACTACATTGTCTGTGTTCACATGTGCGGAAAATATGTTATTTTTACCGAAACTGCCGACATTTCATTGTTTTCAACACTTTTTTCTAGAATATTTTTATACTTGTTTATATCCTATAAAACAATATAGAACAATGCTGTTTTTGTATGTATGTATGTTTGTTTTTATTTATTTATTTATTCATTTTTAATTTTATTTATTTATTTATTTATTTATTTTTGGTTTTTGTTTGTTTGTTTTTTTTTTTTTTTTTGGTTTTTTTTTTTTTTTTTTTTTTTTTTTTTTTTTTTTTCAAAATTACAAGATCTTTCATCTGATTTCAAATGAAAGGAGCTGGCCCCTAAAAGAGGAATATAGAGAGTCCGAAAGATTATACTCATTTTAAAATGAACTATAGAGAATTTGCAATTAATTATTGAAACAAAGTTAGTTAGAATAAAAAATGATAGCTGTTGAGAAAAGTATTTGATGACGTCACTTTCGGTAAAACCGGAAGTTGTCGGAAAATCTATATTATTTGGGGGTGACTTAAGTCACCAAAAGCATCCGGCCTCATTTTCTTGTCGATCAAAGTCACTTCCAGTCAGACGGAAAATAGTTACAAAAAGATTATTTGCGCAGGTATCGGCACAAAATTCAATAATTTAAGTCATTGGCGACGTCCGACTGTATTTTTCTTTGTTCGATGTCACTTCCAGTCATACCAAAAGTAATTACAAGCGGCTTTCTTTTACAATTAGCCCCTTGCAATTAAATGATTTAAGTTCCTGAAGACGTCCCACATCATTAAAAGTCGAGTGCTCTTCAGAACAGTGTTCTTTTGTACACACTCATTTGCAAATTCTTCTCCGAATTGCAGCATCGAGCTTTGCTCCCGTTCTTCTTCTTCTTATTTTAATAATTAAATTCAGTTAAAAGAAAAAATTCGAAAAGAATTCTCTACTTTCAATAAATGAAACTATTCAGATATCTTGCGTAAAACACTGCTTTTAGATTCAAGATTTACAGTATTGAATCTGAAGTTTAATTTTTTTTTTATGTTCTCTCTATTAAATATTATTGCGTGTCTTATCTCTAATTTTATTTCGATTTCTTCATGACATTCCTAAAAGGTGCCCTGAACTGTTTCGCCCTAAGTTGTCGATAAGAGTTGTTCAAGTCTAGTAAAATTATAGATAAGGATGCATTAAAATCAATAATTCTATTTTAAAAAAGATATGGAGTGGAATAAGTACAAACATGATCTTTTTAATACAAGTATATAATATGGTCTTCTTGTTTGGAAACTTCGGCAGTCCAAACCACTGTGTTGTCTTGTTCAATATATTTTTAAAAGGATTCTCGTGTCGCTTTTCATTGACTATGTCAAAATCAGTGTGTTATTTCCAAACACTGACATTGTTTTTGTAGAATGAAGTTTATATTTCAAAGTGACTACACAATGGTAATTGGACTTTTGTTTTATTAAACATTTCATGTCTCTTGTACTGAGAGATCGGGAGGAATCTCAATTACAATTGGTTTATACTAGGGTTAATACTAGGGTAAACTGTAAAACTTATTAATAGTAAACTGTAAGAAAACTAGCTCTCAATTAAACAATGAACGGAAATAACAGGAAGTGCGCTAATGATGTTGAGTAAAATAAAAATAATCAATGAATAAACAATATTGATACGGTCTTGTTATTGCGTATGTTCCTATCAACATGAAGTACGAAAAGATTTTTTTTCTGTAAATATAGAATACAGAAACCTTTTTAAATTCTTTTGTAGACTATTCAAAATATTTGTAAACTAATCAAAATCATCTTTAAATTCACAATATGCAATAACTCTTTATTTCACAATACACTTAAATATTGGAATTGTTTTATGATAAATATTTGCACATATATTCTTATCAATGCACGAAGTGAGTTGCCTGATATATCATCACGTATGGAAAGACCATGACCTCTCCCAACTACATAAGAATGCATATTGGACAGTATGAAAGGTTTGTTGTTCAGTCGTTGTTGGAGAACAAGGAGGTAAAGGATTTTCAATTCTCTATGAAGTTTTTACAGTGACAAAAACAGACAATTTAGGATATTTTTTTTTTCGAATTCTTATAGTGTTGTTTTCGTCACTTATCGCTGATTGAACAAGTCATTATAAAAGCACCAACTTTAATAAATTATGTAATTTGAATTCAAAACACTAATTTCAATAAAATTGTTATCAAAGAAAATTATAACGCAAAAAGGAATAAACTTTTTTTTTAATTTTATAACATTTAACGTTGTGATCAAGCCAATAAACATTTTTTGGATTAATTTTTTTTTTAAATATTATCATATAATAAAAGTTACGAGACATTGCAATTAACCCTATTGATTTTTATTTGGCATTGGATTTTTGCGTTGCAAAGAAGATATCAAATCAAATATATATTTTAAGCTTTTTGGAATGAAGTAGTAAAAAACGGATACTAATTGAAAAGAAATACTTCAGCATTGAATCATTTTTTTTTTTGGAAGGATGTAGTACCATTACTGCAACGGTGTATGCAAACAAATTGAAAACCATTGCAGTTATGAGACTGCATCTTTAAAAAAAAAAATAATGATTCAGTGCATATATTTACATTTCTAACTTCTTTCCTTGACTAGAAATGTAATTTATATTTCAAAATCCCCGTATTATCCTTCGAATTGGGAAAGTTACAATTAGTGGAAAAGCCATCGCAATAGCTTCTGTCAGTGTGAGCATGAATATTGATTTTGGCTGATGACTTTGCACTTGCATGGCGTTCAATGTTTCAAAATAAAATGCATACTTCAACCTTTTGATCCTTTGTTTATGGTGTTTTGAATGCCGTCGTTTTTCACAGGCCATATTAGCCAAATACGGAATGTAAATATATGAGCATATTTGTCACATTGCATTGGATCTCATTATTTTCTGTTTGGGAAGAGAAAAGGAATAGTAATCATAAACATAATGTTTTAACTTTTTTGAATTGCTGTCTTTCCATAAATATTATCTTGTTTCTTGAAAGTGTATTGATTAAATTCAATTACTCGATTATATAAATATGCAACAAAGATTTCTGCAGCAAACATATCAATGTTAATAAATGTTTCTCTTTAAAAAAATCAATGATAGAGAAGGGTATATTATGGTGGCATATTTCTGTCTCCCACTTGTCATATAATTATGTCGACTTGTCAGATCGTTTTGTTGTCATCACTGACAATATATCTTTGACAAGTCAACATAAAGATCTGACAATTCGATGTATTATCTGATAAGTCAACATAATTTTCTGACAATTCGACATAATATTCTACAAGTCAATATCAAAATCTGACAAGTCGACATTACATCTGACAAACCGACTTGTCAGAAAACCATGTCAGTGACTTTAACATGCTGTTAAAACAAGATAACAAGTTCATGGTTGTAACGATTTTTATGTGACAAGTCGACATAATTACCTGACAAGTGGTGGCAAAAATATGCAACATACTAGATGTTGTTCTGATATCCTGTCAATCAATTATGACTTCATAAAAGATATATATTCTGTATATTACTCAAATTTATATTCACCTACAGGGAAATAATTTTTCTTCTCATTATTTGGTTAATTTTGTGTTGATATTGATTCAAATTTTTATTCTAACTCAGAAAATAAAAATATCAATCTATATATCATATTGCTTTGCTAATTAAGTGATGTCATTTTTTCAATTTGTAAGTTCACCCTTTGATTTTCCTGTATGCATATAAAAAAAATGAATAGCTTGTTTCAATCTTTTATTGCAACAAAAATGTTTAATCTCTGAATTTCGCTTTAGGAACAATGAAGATTTTTATTCTTTTCATTTTGCCGGCTGTTTTCGGAGCACGTGGTATGTATGGTTGTCTAAGAATTGGATATGAGCTATTTTAAAATCATGCTGATATTTTGTTTTTATTTTAATTTATTTTGTTTTAGTTCCCCAAAAAAGACTTGTCTTTGACAGTGAGTATAACATTTGTACACAATTGTATGGCAATAATATTTAAAAAAAAAAATAAAATAAAATAAATAAAAAAAAAAAAAAAACCATGTGTTGACAAAGTATATGTTTTTTAAGTCAACATATTTTTAACATAAAGATCGTATCGTGTTATTCTGTCAAAACGTAAAAAAAGACACCCATTTGTCTGATAAATAGATATAAAATAACTAATCTTTTTCATCATTTTCTATATGACATTTTGGAACTGCATTATAATGTTGTTGTTTTAGGGAAAAACTTGCTTCATTGGAAGCATTTGCTTGCATTGAAAGAAAATTTTCTTTAAAATAGTATTTTTTTATTTAGTGACAAGAAAGAGAAAAGATTAAAACAGTATAATGATATTCTATTTCCGGTGTCGAAAAGTATTTTACATATTTAGTCTTACCCCATAAGTTCTTCATCGTTTCTTAAACCATCAACAATCCCGTGCAATTTTTTTTTCTATTTATATATTTTACTGGTGCAAATATTCCCTGCTCTTTTCCCTTTTAACTATCGATCATTAATCATGAACAATTCTACATGTCAATATTTTTTTCACTTTTAGCTTTCCTCAATGGGGAAGAAGCCAAACATCTTGTTGATCAGTTGGTGGAGCTACTTGCTACAGATGATAACGAGGCTAAATGTGAATCACATTGTCACACTCTCATTTTGAATCAACAGTCTGTATTCCAGCATCTGTGTCCCTTCCTCTGTCATTCGTGAGTTGAAAATAAATCATATTGAAAGAGAATTAACTTTTTCTTAAGGTAATGGAAAACTAGTTTCTTAATGTCTAAATTTTAAGTGGATTAACATTCCTTTCTAATTTATCTAGAGCCCAAAATGCACTGAATCACTTACATAGCCCAAATACAGACCCTACCGCTACAGGAAAACGTCTTGTCCTTGATAGTAAGTTTGTGTTTATGATTAAATTGTTCACGTTTGTGTAACGACAGAAATCGGAATGTTAAAATATACCGCAAGACGTTGGATCTTACACAATTATCCAAAAATTATACCTCCATAACCTTCTACTCGTAGATTTCCTGAACACCGAAGAGACAGCCCATCTTGTAGACCAACTAGTCGCTAACCTGGGAACAGACGAGAACGAGGCTGCTTGTGAGAAAGAATGTCATATTCTTATTCGAGATTCTACATCTGTCTTCCAACACATGTGTCCATTCCTCTGTCACTCGTAAGTTATATGGATTTTTACAATCATATTATAATTTTTACAATCCTCTTTTATATTGATGCCCAAAATATATTTAAAAGTTAGTAGGCAGGAAGTTTAATGGGTATACACATGTACCAAGACAAATCGTTTGATGGGAATTGAATACAAATATATGTTTAGTATTGTAAGGTGCCGGGCTTTGATGTCGATACATGTATTTTACATGTTAACGAAATTTGATTTACTGACGTTTTGAACTAAACTCATATATAACCCAATCACAAATGCATCTGTTTACATAGATCAAAGCTAGAAAATAACTCTTAAGAATTAAATCTAAAAATATTATAATTAAAAAAGATGTTCATCAAAGGTCCATCTATAAAAATCTTTATCACCAATGAAGGAAATTCAATGAACTCAAAAGTAATTAAAATTCTTCTTTCACAACATGAGCGAGATAGAACGATGAATCGCTTTCCGGTTGGTCCATTACTTCCCCCCAAAAAACGTCAATATCATTTGATGAATATTGATTATATGTTTGAAAATACTACTGTCACTTATGCAACTAAAAAGAAGCACAATTATGCTGAATAAAATGGATTTTATTTACATTTTGACCTACTACTGATAAGTTTTATTTGCACAGAGCCCAGGCTGTCATCAACAGCATTCACCACACACCTAGTGGGACAGGAAGGAAAAGAGTTTTGCTTGACAGTAGGTTATTTATTTTTCATAATGTAAACAAATATGTCAAGACATTATTATGCAAGTGAAACTTAATACTTATGTACTTATATGAATTTCAAACCTCAGTCTTCTGCTCGTAGACTTCTTGAACACCGCAGAGACGGCCCATCTTGTAGACCAACTAGTCGCTAACCTGGGAACAGACGAGAACGAGGCTGCTTGTGAGAAAGAATGTCATATTCTTATTCGAGATTCTACATCTGTCTTCCAACACATGTGTCCATTCCTCTGTCACTCGTAAGTTATATGGATTTTTTTTTCAATCGTATCATCTGTAATACCGAAGACCCAAAACTTGTAAGCTAGTGGGAATATTTCTAATGTGTATGTGCATTTACCAAGATATACCCTTTTATGTCTTAATGTCTTTTATTGTTTGCCACCAGGCTTTCATGTCAATGTTTTACTTGTTAACATAATTCGATTTACTGACTTTGTGACACTGAACACAAATTCATTTGTTTACATCTTGTCAAGACCAGCAATTAACTCTTAAAAGTAAATTCTGAAAAAAAAAATTAAACGATGATTAAAGTTCATCCTTAGCAATTTTTCTCTCCAATCCAGGATTTTTTTTTCAAATAATCAGACCTCTTCGACGATTTATAGAAGTGAGAAAGAAAGATAAATTGTTTTTCGGTTGGTTTTGCTTTCTTTTTTTGAAAGTGACAGTAGTGTTTTATGACTATAAATTTCAGCGTTGTATATAATCCTGATATTGTTTGACTGAAAATTAGCAATATTTTAATAAATTGGCCTAGGGATCATTAAGATCTACTAGTGATTTCGATAAACTGTATTTGCACAGAGCCCAGGCCGTCATCAACAGCATTCACCATACACCTAGTGGGTCTGCAACTAAAAGATTTTTGGTCGACAGTAGGTGATTTATTTTTCGTAATGTCTACTACTCGTATGATAATAATCTCATTTATTTTAATGAATATCATAACTCTTTTCTAGATACCTTAAAATCATATTGATGCATTACTATGCTTTTTCTTTTTTAAATCATAATTTATAACTTCATATAAAAAGAATATTGCGTTTCATATTGTGTTTAAGCCTTTTTGGATAACCCCGAGATCACTGTATAAGTAACAAATTCTTTATATTTGTTCATTTATATTTTAGCGTTTTTGGCTAACCCTGAGATCAACGTTTTAGTAACTAATTTGGTTGGAGTCCTTGGATCAGACCCAACTGAACAGGCTTGTGAGAATGAGTGTGTCACATTGATGCATGCCGACAACGTGTTGCACCATCTTTGTCCCTTTGTCTGTCATTCGTACGTTGTTCTTTTTTTCATTATTGAATTTTCATTTCTTGCATCCAGTGGTGTCATGATTAACAAAAATAATAATTGTATTTTATTGAAAACATCGGAAAATCGATGGTTAGAGCCCCTGAAGCAGCGACAGACCTAAGTCAATTTAAAAAAAAATAAGTTGCAGCTGATTGTTTGTGAAATGCTCAGCATTTTGAAGTGAAAATTGTGGGTCTTTCGGATCCAAGTCCCCGTGCCTCAGAAGGCTTCCGCATGATAAAGATCATTCACTGCTAAATGGCTCTGAGTTCCGAGTATAAGTGTAAATTTGATGCCATTTACAGGTACATGTATGAGCTTGCAAGGGAAATAAAACAACAATCGATCAATCCTACTTTTATTGCATTTTTTTAAATTTGTTTTTGAGGGAAGAAAAGTTGTAGTTTTTTTCCAATGAGAGCACCACTGTGATTTATTTTTGCATTGATTTGATAGTTTATGATAAACGTGATGACATAAACTTTTCTTTGGGGTCAATGTCTCCCAGTTGATTCTACACGGAAGAGCATAATCTACATACGAACAATTTCTAAAACAAGTTGATGAAACAAGGATATCAACAGTCTCGTTTGAAATCATCATTTGGCAAGTACTATGGTCGATACGATGACCTTGTCAGTAAGTCTATTATCAAGTCGAATCTGTCCGACGTGTTTCATACTTACTGTTAGGCCATTATTTACACACTGAACTGTCTACAGATCCTTTTCTTTGTCCGATCATGACACTAATCACACGGCGGGTGTATCCGGTGGACAGGGGATGTATACTCCTCAATGGCTACAGATCCCACCTCTGATGTTTTTAGAGATCCGTGTTTTCTCTGCTCCCAATTTGTATTCGTATTTCAATGGACTTTTGAACTTGATTTGTACTTGATTTCTATGCATTGTCCCCATATTTCATATATTAACTGCAATTGGGGTTTTATAAATAAAATAAATCTGGAATGCAAATTTTAAAATGAAAATAAAAAATGCAGGAAATTTAACAATATAAATATAAAATATTTATTTTCCTGGATGAAAATTATGCAAGAAATGTTTTTAAGAGATTTCTCTGACTGAATTTATTAATTAATATATTTAAATTACATACATTTACTAAATTAGTAAATTTAGTAAATTAGAATTCTTAACACAAGTTTTCCAACAATATATTTCGTGTTAACCATACCTTATTTTACATTTTCAAGATTCCAACAGCTGGTGGCTAAGATTCATGTCAAAGAGCCAGCATCTAACCCATCAAAAAGATTTCTCGTTGATAGTAAGTACTTTGCAGAGTTCATTAAATACCATATCATATAAGATATATGAGAATAAAAAAAATTACATTTTAATATGAATTGATGCAGGTAACATGCCTATCATTTGAAGGGGAAATAAAAGCAAGTAAGGAAGTATAAGAAAAAAAATTTGTCCACAGAGACTGCTTTAAAATCACGTTTTGTGAAGGACGTACAAATGTTATGATGCTTGACAGATTGAAGCATTGTGGTGCAGTATTTTATCGGATCTATCTTGAATAAATAAGCTTTTATATAATATTTCTTTTTTTGTAAGAATATGTGCAAGATGAGTTAATCATTGAATAATTTATATCTTTCAACTTTTGCAGCCCTGCTTCACAACAACCCGCAAGTTGTTACGATTGTGAACACTCTAGCCCAAACTCTTGGATCTGACCCAACAGAGGCAGCCTGTGAGTCCAAGTGTACCAATATTGTTCATGCCGACAACTTTATGCACTACCTTTGTCCTCTTGTTTGCCACTCGTACGTAAACTTCAATCATTCATGTGTCTTTTTTTTTTGGGGGGGGGATAAATATTACGCGGCTAGGATAAGGCTGTCCGATAAATATTACAGTGTACCAGCCGTTGTTACTTCTCTGAACTACCAAGATATGACGTCATTATAGAATATGACGTCAAGCCTCTGCAAACTTGAGCAGTCATGACGGGGAAAGTGTCATAACTTTTACATTCCTTCCCATGGCATGTAGATTTTATTTCGACGTTGATGTTAAAATCAGGTGTCTGAATTGTTGTTTAAAGTTTCTGTGTGCTGTTATGATGGTGATTATTTGCAATACAATATCGTTATTCATTTCTCTTTCTGATAATGTACGTATTCAGGCAATAACAAAAAATGAATATGAAACGCTCCCCCTTACACGTCCGTAGACAGTTAGAATTTATAAATCATGCATATATGAGACTGGCACAAGTGATTAATAAAGATAAACTGAAGATATTCTATGTGTATCTACTGGAAAAGTGTGTCTTCTAACTGAATTTTGCTGGGGGATCGTATGTAATTTATCCTATTTTGTATAAATTGAGATGAAGAGTGGAAAATGCCCCCTTGTACGTCGGTAAGTTGAATTTCTCGTGAAATATTTTCTTAAGAAGTAAAGCTCAGACTTGCCCCCAGCACTTTATATATACCCAATAATACGTTTAATTAATTTATGTAACAAACTATTCTCAATAATTTTGTTTTTCACTTGTGCCGACGGGATTTTTGTGCAACAATTAGGAAATTTTATAAGTGGCTCTCACGTGATCAACACAGTCATGTGACATCACAAATATGCCTTTTCTCAATACGTTATTAAACTCTCTTCACAAATTTACTGCACATCTATACATAGATTACAAATTGAAATCAAAATCTAGCTCAAAATATAATAGCGTATTTTTAATGCATATTAAGCCTTCGGACAGCCTTACATAGCCGCGTAGTAGGAAAAAGAAAATTGTGCAAATCATATATCAAATATATTTTTAGTTGCATATTGTATTTATTTCGATATGTTTACCTTACTTTTTTAATTTGACTATTAACTTCTGAGAAAGTTTGAATTTCTGAATTCATTTTTTTTAATTATAGATTCCAGTCCTTGGTTCAAAAGATACACATAAACGCCTAGCCTTGCCCAGTGAAATGATGCAAATTTATTTATGCATGTTATACATAACGTTTTTTTAAAATAAATTGTTGTATGGTTTACACTATAATGTCTTATTTTCTTTCTTTTCTTTCAGGCAATGTATTACTAATCTTTCTATCAACTCTTTGTTGTCTTTTCTGCAATCTCTCTCTCTGTCTCTCTCTCTCTCTCTCTGTCTCTCTGTCTCTCTCTCTCTCTCTCTCTCTCTCTCTCTCTATATATATATTGGGTTTTTCATAATATATGTTACATTTTTAAATCTAAATTTTTTTTTTTTTAATTTTTATCTTTTTTTAACACAAACTATATATCATTTTAAATATCAAATCCTGCATTTTTATCTCATGTGCAAAAGTCAAGAAAATAATTATATTATAATGTTTAATCGTGACAAAAACTGTTTATTTATGTTGGAAACATATCAATCTTAAGTAATAAATACAACTTTCAAAATTGTTTTTTAAGGTAAAAATTTAAGGTAATCTTCAATGACGTGGATTTTGATGCATTCATATTTTGCATATTTTAAATGTAAATCCTTACAAAATACACGCCGTATGATCTTGAAAAATGTTTAATTTTCATTTAATTTAACGTTTTATTTCATATAAGTTTATATTGTAATGTGTATTGTTTTTATAGATGTGCTACCTATTTTACGCATAAAATGTCCATATAAGAAATGTGGTTTCGAAGTATATATTGAACTATCAAAGTTGTGTATCAAATGTTGAACACACTGAAAGATTTTGTTTGTGATTGAATAAAGATTAAGTTGCAATTAATCAAATAAATTCCAAATAAAAAAGATAATTAAAAAAAAATCAATCAACGTCGAGGATGAAAATATTAATGTAGTTGCATGCTGACTTATCATATAAGTCATATGAAAACTCAGAACGGCTGTATTTATATATATATATATATATATATATATATATATATATATATATATATATATATATACTGATACGTAAATTGAAATAACATCTTAAGAATTGTGTTTAATTATTTTCATTTAATTTCATTTGATTACGCAGGTAATACAATATATTTGATTAAAAATGCTATCTAACGTGTAATACACAAATGTATATATAAAAACTAAGTCCCTGCACCCCCTTTTTTAACGACACTCCATAAAAAAGGGGAAGATTTCAAACAGGTCCTTCCACTATATAACACATATCAAACATTTATGTATATGCATGGACTAATAGATTTCTACAAAGTCCCAGGTACATATTGGCTGTAAGGGTAAATAGCGCTTCTTTCGAACTCTTGAGGCCCGAGGGTTCAATTCTTGTTCCCAGTGCCGCGTCAAGGACTAAGGTGTTTAACGCTGGTAGTGACTGTTCCCTTGCCAAATCCTCAGAATTAAAAGTAAAAGTCTAGGATCTTATGGATATTACCTTAAAAAGGGTGGTCCCATCGCACGATTGGCGTTGGTCAACAAACAAATATCGTGCATAAATCAAAATTGTGACACTTCACCTATAGCGGGTGATTCTTTACCTGGGCAAAAACTGGGTAAAAAAATTCTAAAATGTCGTAAAGCAACATTCAATTATCAATCACATGTTATCTTTAGGAACCCCTTCCCCCCTTGGTATTAATTTTCTAGAACAGAACTGCTGTATCACTACTGGACTTATTATCCCCTGATATTCTGATTTTTCTCTGAAAATCTCTGTCAGCCCTTGTACTTTCACTGTACATTACTGTACTTACCTCTGTACTTCACAGTACATAACAGTACAACACTGTACAGAAGCACAGCATTTCACAGCACCTCCCTGTACTTCACAGTACACTTCCTCTGTACATCACAGTACCCCACAATACTCCACAGTACGCAGCCACTGCTTACCACTGTACGTCACAGATATTAGCTGTACAGATAACTGATCTTCACAGTACATTGCTGTTATTCCCTGAACCCTCATACTGTACATCACAGTACATCAAAACATATTACAGTTTATTCAGTATATACCAATGTACAACCAATTTTACTCTGCCCTACCCTGAAAAGCTTTGTACCCTAGGAAATTTATTTAATATTTAAAAAAAAAATTCTTATTTTATTTCACGGATGCTTTTGAATACATGTATTTCTGAGAGATTAATTTTCAAAATGGATAGAGTGCCTTTGATTTTATATATAACTGAAATAATTATATTGTCTTTCTGACATATTTTCTATTTATCAATAAAAATCTGCATAGATTTTTATTGATAAATAGAAAATATGTCAGAAAGACAATATTAATCTTTTCTCCTCATAGTATTGTATGTTTTTAATTCTACATAATTGTGTACACTGAAAAACTGATTAAAGTCAATGTTATGATTTAGATTTCTGATTTTCAATTAATTCAACTTTTCATCTTCCTTGAATTATCTTATGTGTACAGCGTACATCTACTGATAATTTTCTCTTTATATTCATTATGAAAACAACTAGAATTAATTAATCCCTAATCGCCGTCAAACGTACTGATACACCCCCCCCCCCCCCATTTTTCTCGACAAACTGAGAGAAATTATTGAAAATTTACCGTCTTTACTGCAATACGTCGATAATTATTGACCATAAGTTATATTGCTGGTATTGAACTCCAGAACAGTGCTGATTATCTTGGTTTGTGATGATAAACGTAATAAAAATATATAAATAATTTTATTATTAACATAATTCCCGACTAAAAGAACAAAGTATTAATCTTGCGAATCAAGTTTTAACTTAAGTGAATGTATGGAACCGTTGCTTTTTATCTCTTTCCAAGTTCAATCAATTAATACAGGCCCGTAGGTAGCAATTTCACATTGAGGGGGCACAACCAAACATTTTCAGTTGGGGGGGGGGGGGGCTATGAACTACCAAAATTCCTTGACATGCTAAAAGAAAAAGGTCATCAGACATTATTATTGAGTGGGCACAAGAATGTAGTAGCTATGTTTTCTATAGTATTGTATATATCGGCCCGTGCCCCCCGGTTCCTACGGCCATGTAATAAATTTAATTCAAGAATTAATGATCATTTTATTCTGTTCAATACAATGGGTACGTATATCCGTATGCATGTAGCTCGCTCTATTTCCTTTTACCATTGATTAGAAAAACATGTTTTTAAATATTTCTCAACAAGACAAGCGCCTCTGAATTTTTTTCTCTATGTACAATTTTGTTAAATGTAAAATTATAAAGACTTGGTTTAAAATTAAGGAGTAATTGTACATGTAATTCAAAATATCCCTGCCAACCGCTTTTAAGGATTTTTGGTATCCTCAGACAGATTTCTGAAATGGGTAGGAATAATGATCGTATGACGTTTGTTAAAGCTGATGTTGAAACACGCCTCCCGCCAACCCCAACCCCCTTTCCACCCCCACCCTTACCGAAAAACACTAGACACTTGGTATCAATACTTTATAATAAACGAGGTCCTTACTAAACTTCCTTGCAGATCGAAAATAGTTCGTGAATTTTTAAATACTATATCAAACAATTGTGTCCTAATAAGGCTCTAAACCATTACATATAAGAAAACCTTTAAACGCTTAAAATATGAATAGAATTCACCGAATTACATAAAAACGCTAAATATCTGGTATGCATCAAAGGGATCAGATTTTATGTGTCGTTTTACTTAAAATTTCTTTTACCACTTGGCACAAACGTATTTATCATGTTTTGTCTCAGATCCATATCTCAATCACTAGCCCAAATGATAATCAGCGCAAAGTTTTACCGTAATCTCTCTCTCTCTCATATTATAATGACAGAGGCTGTGAAATCAATGTAAAAATAAAGTTTTACAAGTATATACTGTGCGTATAATTCCGACTGAAATTTGATTTTTTTAATTTATTTTCAAATTATGAATTTATTGAATTATCTTAATAATAATTGCAAGTTCACACAATGTACCCCATGAACATAAGAACAAGGTGTGTGTTTAAACTATACTCATGAAAAAAAGACTTAATTAGACTCTGTTACAACACCCTTTTTGTTGCTTGATATTGCCAACCCAAACTAAAAATTTATGAACATACCCTGACAAACCAAGTAAACAGGTCTTTCGCGGGACTGCACTTGTTTTGTTTTATTAAAGTTTATATCCACACTTAAAGTTCGTTTTCTTTTATATGTTTATAGATATATAATTAATGTAGTTCAGACGACATCACAATAACTTATTATTGTGCGATCTGTCACTTTTCAGTCCCGTAAAATGAGCATCGCACACTAAACCGATCTCTACCAGAAAACGGGGGGGGGGGGGGGGGGGGAGGGGGGGCTGCTAAAATAATTTTCTTTTTTCCCTAAAATGAGTTTCACATTATAAGAGATCATTTCTTTTCATATATTTATCTATTGTGAAGGAAAGTGATAGATTATAAATATTTCAATTGATAATGTGTTCAATGGCTCAAACTTGTCCTTAACCTCGCTGTGGCCGTAATGTTGCGTAACTAACTTCATGTGAACTCCGGCGAGTGCCTTTCTGTATAATGCAGCAGTGACACCTATTGTCTTAGTGTCTCGCTACCGTACACACTCGGATCACCTCAGTCGATTCTATCTACATACAGAGTAACATCACAGACTTTCCGATTGTTTGTTTGATAATTCCGGTATTCATTTCGTAATTAGTATTACTGAAAATGAAACTTGTTTATATACATAACAAAGATTCCGACTGGACTATGAAACATCAATTAAATTTTTTATAAAAGTTTTGGTGTAAACCTTTATGAAATTAAAAGTATTAATAACCGTAATAATTGAAATAAATAGGAAAGTTTTATCATGTTAAAAAAAGAAAATATACAAATGTTACAAATCATGCCACGTAAAATAAAATGAATTCTTCTCCACATTTTAGTATGAAATATAGTATACACTATTTAATTCACCATATTTAGATTAGCGTACAAAATGTGGGCACATTAATACGACTACGATATTTTGCTGTTAAATCAGGCGAGAAATTATAAATTAAAAATAATGATACCGTATCTATTGAGAGGTCAGTCGCTCACACACACAGTAAAAAA